AATTATTTAATTTTTATTTATTATTGTTACTATTTTAATTCCCCCTGAGAGAGACAGAGAAAGAGAGAGAAAGGGAAAGTGAGAAAGCAAGCCACCAGGTCTGGAGTCCAATGGTGGTTAGCCAGGTCGAGTCCAGCATCCCAGTCACCATGCCACCTGCTGGCCCCATACACTTAAACACATACTCTAAAGGTTGTGAATGCCATTGGAGGGGTAAACTAACATACAGCCTATGTATTGAAAGCAAGAAAGGTTTATCCACTACACTGATTTCGATTCTGTCATTCCAAGTGCTGGTTCTGCCTACAGGAAAATAAAGCATCTCACACACATCCGGACGTTTCATGACGATTAAACAAATGAGAAACGCCCTCCTTTGGTTTCCTTAATGTTCTTAAAGTTGTGTAAAGATCTAATTTCAGAATTAAGAACTTGCTAATTTAAATGTAACCCAACTCCATTTCCATTCTGTTAGAAACTTAGAGATTTTCTTGTTATCGTTGTTGTTCAAAATTTATTGATTTTATTGAAAGGGGCTTGGGGTGGGGGGGAAGAGGTGCCCTTGACAGGGTCTCATCCCAATGCAGTCTCCAACTGTCCAGCCTTCCAGCCAGCTGGATCATGGGTATACACCTGCATGCCTTCAGCATGTTCAGGTTGACCCTGGATCCTGTCTGGGTCTCCAGAGTGGCTCCAGCACCGCAGAGCAACGCCCTACTGTCAACACCCCTGCAGCTGGACCTAGGAATTCAGACTCTTGAATAAATGGCCAGTGGAGGGGTGTGGGCTTATCTCCAGAGGCACCAGCCCTGGGCGATGCTTGGGCAGTTAAAGACAGAGCCTCCAACTTGCATTCCAGGCGTAAGGTTTTAATGCAACACCCAGATTCTGCTAGAACGGCCGTAGCAGTTACCATAAACTCTTCTGTCTCCCAGGAGGAGGATAGCCATTAATCCATTAAAAAGTGATAAAAGGTTTGGTAAAATGCAGTTGGTCAGATTTATCCGTTTATAACTGGAGGTGTGTGTGTGTGTGTGTGTGTGTGTGTGTCTGTCTGTCTGTCTGTGTTAGTGGCAAAGTACTTGGATGCAAGTTTGAAGAGTGTGCTGGATGGGAAATTGGTCATAGGCCTCTTCTTAGCAGCCCACAATCAATGAGGGCAATGAGATTGTGCTGGGAATATTCATCCGCAGCTTGAGAAAGCCACGGGAGAAGAGACTCTCTCAAGAGGCTGAGTCCCAGGTTCGGTTTTCTCCGGTTGAGTGTCAGACTGACAGTTTAGCGTCCTCAAATCTCATTTACCTACTTCTCCAGGTGGGCCTTTCTCTTCTGTTCATCTATTCTTCCATTCTTTTTCAGATACGTTAACACCACTTATTAGGCTATCATAATTCACGTTAGAGACTTGGGCCTAAACGACATGTCTTTTACAAGGGTAGTGGGTTTTACTTGTCATATTCTTGGTCCTCGAGGGATACCTTAATGCCCGCCTCTGTAACTGGAAATTGCAATGATGGTATAAATTCTACTGTTTGGTTGTTCTCTGGTACATGGTCTTTATAATGGATTTGTAAGCAAATATCCCCCGAGTTTCAGAAGCAGAGATGCACCGGGGATCGAGGTAGCTACCGGTATGTCGCTTGCTGCCCGGGTCTCTGTGAGCACGTGGAGCCTGGACCTCCGATGATGGTGGAGGAGGGGGAGGCCACCAGCCTTGTCCTTTAACTCTTCCTTACTCTTAAGCTGACCACATGCGGCAAATTTGGGGGGAAGGGATATGTCACTGCCATGCTGGTCACAGCTTCTGTTTTGGCTGTGCATCGTCCATGCTTCCTTCTGCTGACGGTGTCCGAGACTCAGCTCTGCCCATTCTCAGCCGTGTGCATTGGGATCAGCCTCTGCTGACTTGAAGTGATCAGAGTCCGTAAGGCCCAGGCTGGCGGTCGGTCCAAGAGCAGATGTGTAACTCCGCCGGAGCGAGTGGCTCTCGGGGAAGAGAAATCTGGTCCTGAGCTTCTGGTGTAGACTTGTTTTCTTTCCGCGGATGCTTGTATGAGCGTGTGAGGTGTGTATCCACACATTGCGTGTCCCTCTGCAAGGTCGGAGCTTCAAGGAGAACACAGGTGCTCCTGTTGGTAGGTATGACTTGGAGACGGGAGAGAGCGAGAGAGAAATCGCTCTGGGTGATACTGATGGAGCTAGTGGATCAGTCCTCTCTTGAGACCAGCCCTCACTCAAAACAGCTTCCCACTGAAATAATTCCGTGCGTGCCTTCATCATGGGGGCCAGCTTTTTGGATGGGTGTTACATGACATAACACATGAAGAAGTGGTACTTTGGCAAGGGCAGTTACAGGAGTTTCCTGTTCTGTCCCCTGGGCCACAGCTGACTTCTGAGACTGGAAATGGTTGGGATCGGGGCAAAGCTATCGTGAACGTTAATTTATGGATAACCTGTGCGGGAAATATACGTTTACCCGGGGCATACGGGTTAATGCTCCGTATTAAGCAAATAA